AAATCAGCTGTTTGTACTCTTCATGTTCCTGATAAAGAGGGAAGAAATTCATTTGGGTTGTATCAAACAAAGTTGTTGTTTGTTTTTTTGTATCCTCACATGCTAATTGCATCTAAAAATACAGATAACAACTGAATTGGTGAAGGGTAAAATCTGAATGATCTCTTTTTTGTACACATACCATGTCAGCAAAGTGGGTCATCCCAAGGTGGTAGGATTTCAAACCCTGGTCTGCCAAGATGTTGTGTACTAGCACATGTTTGCGGTTGTTGAGCCAGATCTGCTTCCGGTGAGCCTCCTCTGACTCAGAGTCATATGACTTTTCTGCAAGTTGGAAAAGGAAATTATGAGAAACAGAACATTTTTTTGATTCGCTAACATATTTCCTTTGATTTGAATCTAATAAACTTTTACATAACTGGATGAGGCAAGTTTGAGGTTTGGACAGTGTCTTAAAGAACACAAAACATGATCAGAAGCTTCTGAAAAAACACAAAAACAAAAGAGGAGAGAAAGAGTCTGCTGTCTCACCAAACTTGAGTTTCCAGGCACGAAACTCCAGATCTTCCAGAGAGATGCTGGCACAGCTGGCTACAGCCAGAACAGCAGAAACAACGAACAGCAACTTCATCTTGACTGAATACAAAGAAACGGATCCTTTGTGACTTGTAGGAAACCACATCAGTTTTAAAATGCTTTCTGTCACTTTAAATGGATGTTGGATGTCACTTTCATAGTACGACAGTATCATCTCTCTCTCCAAACCTTTTGCAAATTAATAATTCTTTGTTTTTCTTTGTTTTTTTCATCAGTACATTACTGAAAAGTGCATTTACACACTCGCCTATGTGTCTAATTACATGCTGTAGCTACTTACCTGTCTCAGTGTCCGTGGTTGATATAGGTCTGCGTCAGAGAGAACGTCTTATATAGCAGACTGCTAGTATGACTGCAGTAATCCAGTCAGGTCAGGACAGGAGTAAAGTAAAGAAAGTGAAAGAATGTTAAGTACTGAAATAGAAAAAGGTGGAGGTGTCAGGGTCCCTCAGTCCTCCTTGGCTATGATACCCTATGATTGGGTCTTCTGTCTGTCTTTTCCCATTTTCTCCTCTGTCTGTGTTCGTTTGTGTGTCTCTGTGTTTGGAAACTAAATCCAGGATATCACTTACAAAACAAAACCCATCTCACTCACTCTGTTGGATAACCCCACCAAAGCTATCAGTTTCTATGATTTGAAGCCCCCATCACCCTGTTGGTCCGTGGTCACCCTTGGTTACAACACCACAATCCGCACATCAACTGAGAAACAAAATGAGTCTGGATGGAGGCTGTCTTCCCATAAGAACTGTTTAAAATCCACTCTCCCTTCAGATTCTACAGCCCCTGAACCAAACCCACCTGAAAACTCAGGTGGGTTTGGTTCAGGGTTCCAAACTGTTTATCATGATTTGGCTGAAGTTTTCAGAAAGGATCTCACTCTGTCTCTTCCTCCACATCTGTCTGTCACTTGATGAGGATTAGGTAGGGGGTGAGTGGAAGATAGCCTTCAATACCCATCACAGACACTTCAAACACCTGGTAATGCCCTTTGGACTAACTAACACACCTGCTGTTTTTCAGGCCCTAGTTAATGACATTATCTGGTATTTCATAAATTGTTTCATGTTTGTCTACCTGGATGACATCTTATTTTTCTCACGATCTCTCTCAGAACATAAAATCACTTAAGGTTAGTCCTGCAGCAGCTGCCCAAAAAGTTGTTTCTAAAAGGCAAATTTTATGTTGACAGTGTCTCTTTGCTGGGCTACCAAAGGGACATCTCAAACCAGGCCCAGCAAAGGTGCAAGCAGTCATGGACTGGCCATTGCCTGAGAACTGCAGATGTTGCAACATTTCCTTGGTTTTGCTAACTTTAGAAGAAAAAGAAAAGAAAGTGTACTTTATTGATCCCCGTGGGGAAATTCCTCTCTGCATTTAACCCATTCACTCAGTGAAGCATTGGGCGCCCGGGGAGCAGTGTTTAGGGACTTCAGTAAAGTTGCCATTCCTCTAACCCAACCTGCCAAATCACAGTTCCAGTGAACCCCAGCAGCTCAGTCGTCCTTCGACTTTCTCAAACAACACTTCACTTCTGCTCCCATCCTTTCTCAACCAAACCTCTCACAACAGTGGATGTGGATGCATTAGATTCTGGAGTGGGAGCCATCTTGTCTCAACATAAAAAAGGTCAAACGCATCCCTATGCCTTTTTCTCTTGTCGTCTATTCCCTGCGGAGCAAAATTATGACGTTAGATCTAGAGCTGAAACTCTTGCATAGCCCAAAACGGCGAGTGGGCTTTGTTTTTTACCCTCTTGAATTTTCCTGCAACGTACAGGCCAAGCTCTTTAAACAAGCTAGTCCACTGTGTAAACCTGAATTCTGTGTGTAGAGACGAGTTTTCCTTTTTTTTAAACTGGTATCTATTTGCTGATTTGGTCATAATTTTTTTTTTAATGTAGTATTGTAGTCTCAAATGGTTTATTGGTTTTTATTAAATAATATGCAAAAATACAGATTACACATATTTGACTTGATGGTAGAAACTGGATTGGACTGAACTTCTTTTTTTTTTTTTTGCATTTCTGGAAAAGTTCACATTCTCTGTGTCTCAGTGTCAGTTAGCACTATTCCTTCAGTCAATACTGTTGGTTAGATCAGTACCTTCAGGCAGGCAAAGATAGGTCGAGCCTCAGCGAGGCAGAGAAGCATTGAAAGAGACGCGCAACCCAGGGAAACCAGCTGTTTGCACTCTTCATGTTCCTGGTAAACAGGGAAAAATTATGGGGATTTTTTCCAAAAGTTGGACCCTGGTCTGCCAAGATGTTGTGCTCTAGTGCAAGCTTGCAGTTGTTGAGCCAGACCTGTTTCTAGTGAACCTCCTTTGACTTAGATCAGAGTCGTATGACTTTTCTACCAATTGGAAAAGGAAATTATGAGAAAAACAGAAAAAAGAAATTAATCCTTTTTTTTTTAAATCCGCTAACATGTTTCCTTTGATTTGAGTCTTAGAAACGTTTACACAAGTAAACACATGGGTGAGCATTTCTTTGTTTGAGTTTGAGGCTTGGACAGCATCTTTAAGAACATAAAACATGATCAGAAGCTTCTGACAAAAAACGAAAATAAAAGAGAAGAAAAAGAGTCTGCTGTCTCACCAAACTTGAGTTTCCAAGCGTGAAGCTCCAGATCTTTCAGAGAGATGCTGGCACAGCAGGTTACAGCAGAACAACAGAAAAAACAAGCAGCAACTTCATGTTGACTGAGAAGAAGCAGAAAAAGACAGAGGCATAGCCAGCTTCTCTGCACTTTCATGGCAGGATTTGACAATATTCCAAAGACGTAGTCACCGAATGTTTGGCTTTTCCACCTCCCACAGGAGGCTAGATGGTCAGGCGCAGAAAAGTTTATGACAGTCAGTCAGACAGATAATTTTCTTTGGTTTCAAGTAATTTTTGCAAATCTCAGTTCCATAAAATCCTTATCTTCAGTTTAGTTTAATCTAAGCAGCATATTTATTTAGTATTTAAAATCAAATCTGCATTATGTCTGGGACAACACTGGATACATTT